CCCACTGCCCATACAACAGTGCCCCCCAACTCCCCAACAGTACCCCCAGCCCAACCCTCACTGCCCATACAAGTGCCCCAGCCCAGCCTCCCTGCTCCTCGTGGGCCCGGCCCGGGGGCTCCCGCGAGCCGCCGCCCCTCACCTGAGGCTCGCAGCGCTTGGCGGTGTAGGCCGCGCAGCCGCCGCCCCGGCCCCTGTCCCTGCTCCGGGCGAACACCGAATCCTCGAATTCGAAGCCGAACCCCAGCGCCAGCTCCATCGCCTCCGCAAAACCGGCCTCCCTGGCCACAGAGTCTCCGGCTAGAGCGCCCCCCGTCCCGGAACGGATAAAGCCATGGCTAGAGTGTCCCCTGCTGAGCCTAGCTCGAAGGCGGTGCCCCGCAGCGGCTAGTGTGCTCCCCCACGGGGACCATAGAGAAGCGCGGAGCCGCGGCTAGAGTGCCTCCCCTGATGGGGTATTGGGTAAAAATCAAGGAGGACACGGCTAGAGAGTCCCTCCCTGGCTATAGAGAGGCACTGGCAGCAGCTAGAGTGCCACCCCGTGCTTGCGGTAGCCATCTCCGATTCGGGCAGGGCGCTCCAGGGGCGGCGCTGGCATTGAGAGGGAAGAGCCGAGACGCTGATGGGAACCGAGCAGTCTGAGGGCATTGGGTCAGTCACTGCGCCCCAGGGACTGCAGCTCCCGGCATGCAACGCACCTTCCTCTGCCAATGGGGGGGTGTCAGAGGCGGAGATTACAACTCCCAGCATGCAATGCTCTGCGTGCTGGGAACTGTAGTCCTTTCCATGCCCCGTTGCATGCTGGGAGCTGTAGTCTGAGGCTTTGCCAGTGCTGCCTGTGGGCGGTGTATGGCCCGCGGGCTCCCTGTGGCCACGCATGGGTCATAGGCAGGATAGGAACTGCTCCCAGAGGCACATGGGCCTCGCACCACTTTCTCTTTTATCCCCTGCCGGTAAGGTTAATATTTGCATTAGCACCAGCAAGCATCCAAGATTAGTAGGAGCGTTGCCAACAGATTGAGGGAAGTGATTATTCCCCTCCAGTCAGCACTGGTGAGGCTATATCTGGAGTATTACATCCAGTTTTGGGACCCCCACTACAGAAAGGAAGTGGACAAATTGGAGCGTGTCCAGCAGAGGGCAACATAAATGATTAGGGGGCTGAGGCACATGACTTACAAGGGGAGGCTGAGGGAACTGGGCTTGTTTAGTCTGCAGAAGAGAAGGGGCGGGGGATTTGATAGCAGCTTTCAACTACCTGAGGGGGGTTCCAAAGAGGATGGAGCTAGGCTGTTCTCAGTGGTGGTAGATGACAGAACAAGGAGCAATGGTCTCAAGTTGCAGTGGAGGGAGGTCTAGGTTGGATATTAGGAAACACTATTTCACTAAAGGGTGGTGAAGTACTGGAATGGGTTACCTAGGGAGGTAGTGGTGGAATCTCCCTCCTTAGAGATTTTTAAGGCCTGGCTTGACAAAGCCCTGGCTGGGATGATTTAGTTGGGGGTTGGTCCTGCTTTGAGCAGGAGGTTGGACTAGATAACCTCCTGAGGTCTCTTCCGACCCTAATTTTCTATGATTAGGGGCCCGAGTATTACCATGTGCACAGGTAGGGAGGGTACTTTACCACAGTGCAGGGGTTCTTAAACGTCTTCTTTCTGAGCCCCCCGCTATAAAAACTCCACAGCCCACCTGTGCCACAACAGCTGGTTTTCTGCTTATAGAAGCCAGGGCCCACATTAGGGGGTAGCAAGCAGTGCAGTTGCCTGGAGCCCCAAGTCACAGGGGCCTCCACAAAGCTAAGTTGCTTTGGCTTCAGCCCCTGGTAGCAGGGCTCAGATCCCCAGGATTCAGCCCCATGCAGCAGGACTTTAGCTTTCTCCCCTGGGCCCCAGTGAGTCTAACACTGATCCTGCTTGGTGGACCTCCTAAAACCTGTTTGAGGCCCCCCAAAGTGCCCCAGACCCCTGGTTGAGAACCACTGCCTTAGTGCACAGGCATCAGGGAAATGGGAAAGGATTTGCATTCAGCTCTAAGTGTGGGCATTTCCTGTTTGAATTTCTGAGTTTGTGAAGAAGGGGTTATAATGGTTACTGTCTGGTAACTGCATTGGGAGCAACCAAGTGGCTGCTGTTATAAAGAGACCTACAGCAAATGCAAACCTGTAAAAACCAACACCCGTGTCCTCCTCATAAGAGCAGACAGATAAAAGGCTCACCCAGGGCAGAACTTCAATGTTAATGTCTCTTTCCCCCCCCCCCCCCCCCGCCAATAATGCAGTAATATATACATCTTAGAAAAAGGTTTTTATGTAAGGTAAAAAGAAAAACATACTTAAACTTCACATTTCTATAGCCTTACCTGTAACAGGCTTCAAGACTACAGGGAGGCTAATACATCTGGATGCACACTTTTGCATTTAACTTTCCAGTTTCCTAGTCAGACTTATGACTTGGTCTTTGCAATATAAACTTATTTCTCTTTTAAAAACTAACTGCAGTTTTGATGCAAAGAAAACTAAAGCAGTTACATTTTTCTACATAGAGTCATGTGTAAAGGGACATGGCAGATAGCTAGATTTAGTCCAAAACTTTCTGGGTTTTTTTGTTTGTTTTTAAAGTTTCTCTGCTTACTGTGATGTCACTTCCCCTCTCTCACTGTCAAGTCATTGAAGTCAAGGCTTGATATCCATAATAAACATGTAGGTTGGGAGAGTGGGGGAGAAATGGAGCCATCCTTGTACAGTATAAAGGATTATTTTTTGTCTTTACAGTTTGCTATTAAGCATGGCAAGTGAGTGCTGCCTGCCTGGTTAGGAGAGCTGTGTGTGTAAAGTGAGTACATCCTAAAAGAATTGTTGGATCTGTTATATGTAAACCTAGGAGCCTGCCAATTAAGACATGGACAGAGAACTAATTAACCTCCTTGTTAATTCAGCTGCTGCATTGCTTCTTTCCCCACCACACTCTACCACTGGGGATCTTGATACATAAAGATGCCCTCTAGTAGTAAGGCATGGAACATGCTGTCCGGCTGTCATGCTCTTGAGTGGCTGCAGAAGTACTAACATCAGGGAAGACTTAGATAGCAGGGCATAAACCTGAAGTTAGTTGTGAATTTTATACTGTCACCAACCAGTCATCAGGTATAAACTCCTCAGGCACTGTAACAACCTTATCATGGAGTCACAGACAGTCTCCTTGGGTACGCCAATCTGTCTTACCACCTGTATCGGGGCTGACACCCACCTCTCGCAAGTGCCCCCTTCTGATTGGGCTTGTCTCTGTTCTTTAAGTCTGGAGACCCATTTTGGTGGTTCTCAGGCAAGTTTTCAGTGATTCAGCCTTCCAGCTGAGTCACACTGTCTACACATTAGCCAGCACAAACCCCTTCCAGGGTATACAGTCTACAGGGCCTGTATCTCTCTAGCCCTCCTTGGGCTTTAGTCTAAGTAGTCCAGCCCTGGTATAGGGCTGTATCCCCAGAACTTCCTCCTTGGAGACACTACCTTTCTGTAGCCTTCCCCAGGCTCAGTCCTTACTTAGTCCCTAGCAGCCTTTCACTCCCCTGGTCCCTGCCAGCAGACTTAACTGTCCATAGTCTGGTGCTCTTCCAGGCAGCCAGGCCTGCAGTCTGTTCTTCTGCTGCTCCATGCAGCAACTAACTACTGCTCTGTTCTGCTGCTCCTTTTATATGGCCCTCCTGCACCCTGATTGGCTGCTTCCCCCAGCAGTCACTCTAGCCTGCTTGGAGGACCTCTTCACTGCTCCTTTCCTGGGATGGGTGTGGCAGAACCCTGAGGCCTCTAGCAGGGGGCCTTCGGGTTTAGGCCACCCCATCACACCACCCATGTAAGCTTACTTTTGTGATAAATAGTCAGACTGTCCCTTATACCAAGGTTCCCAGCAATGTTCAGGTTACTCCCAGTCCCAAAGGACCAGTCACTTACCCTAGATCAATTGCCCTTTAGGTCTCACACCAAAGACAAGGCTTGTAGGCAATCTTATAATAAACTATATAAAGATTTATTTTATAGGAAAAGGAAATGAGTTATTTACAAGGTTAAAGCAGGTAAACATATATACATACACAAATGAGTTCCAATTCTAAATTTCAAAAAGTAATAAAAGCTTCTATGATAAGCAAGCGCTATATGTCTGTTAGGGCTAAACTGAGCTAAACACTGAGGTTCTTTTGCTTATCATAGAATCATAGAATATCAGGGTTGGAAGGGACCTCAGGAGGTCATCTAGTCCAACCCCCTGCTCAAAGCAGGACCAATTCCCATTATGCCTAGTAATCCTTGCCTTGCAGAGTTCAAGCAGCATAAAGATCCAGTTCTTCCATGTTAGGGGTTTTTATTCCCTCCTCCTTTCTGCTTTGATTTGCAAACTCAGCTAATGGGAGGAATTCACTTGCAAGTCTATCTTCATGGGAGGTGGGGGAGGGGGAGTAAACAACAAAGTCTTTGGTCCCTTTTAATGTGCTACTCTAGTCCATCTGGTGTCAAGGGGCCTCCCTTGTTGGGTAGGATATAAACACCTTCTGTTGGAGACTAGCATTTCATACTAGTTAATGTTTCTCTACCGTCTGGTGATTTACAGAGTTACAAATGCTCAAATATTACCTTACAATATGGGATAAAGAGGTTATGAGTGAGATTAATACATGCAGCAATTCACAAACATTCAATAAAGTCTAAACACTAAATACACTCTTAGGCCTGGTCTACACTGGGGGGAGGGGGAGAGAATCGATCTAAGATACGCAACTTCAGCTACGATGTATCTTAGATTGACTTAGAATTATTTACTTCGCGTCCTCACGGCGCGGGATCGATGGCCGCGGCTCCCCCGTCGACTTTGCTTCTGCCTCTCGCCGAGCTGGAGTTCAGCAGTCGACGGGAGAGCGATCGGGGATAGATTTATCGCGTCTACACTACATGCGATAAATTGATCCCTGATAGATCGATCGCTACCCGCCGATCCGGCGGGTAGTGTAGACGTACGCTTAGAATTCTAACACACAGGGGAGCAAGACTGGTTCCAGCTGTGTATCTGTCAGTGTTCAGTGGAGACATAGGGATCTTGGCATGAGCTGGCATCTGGTCTGCCAGTGTCACGCATGTATAATTGCACCACATACGTTAGTGGTGGCATGGGGTAACAAGTCAATAAGGGAGGAAAACTATTATAAATTGCAACTGTAAATAAGGTCAGAATACACAATCTGAGCACTCCAGACAGAGTGAGAGGATTATTCTGCCTCCGTACCACTTGTCAGCCTAAACTATCAACTATTTCAACTACAGATTGAGTCACCAAGGTGGTTTCTTTTGGCACACAGGGTAGCGCCTCTCAGGTTTTGGAGTAGACACCCAAACAGATGATTCAGGTAAAAATTCAGGTTCTGATTCCTCTGTGCTAGGAATCAATGGAACTACAGTATCCTGAACTTCAGACTTTGGATCAACCAGATCAGGTACAGATGGTGTCACAACACTTTATTGTGGAGGTAAATCCCAAATCTGCTTGATGTGGTGGTGCCATATCACTTCATGTCACTGTGATGG